CACGAATCATTGCCCGTCTTGCCCTGGGTCGCATTTCTCTTACGTTGCGAGGAGGCGTCACATATGGTTCAAGGGGTCTGTCACCAAATGGATGCTCACTGCCAGCAAATATCCTTAGCTTTCTATCCCTATCCTATATCCACAACATGCAAAAGTCTTGAGATAATTTTTGTCTGAAATTCTTACTGCTACAGTACTACGTATAATATCAAGAAGACAAAAGCCAGCATTGAAACAAATACTTAAACAACTTGAGTTTGTACTTCTAGCAATATATATAGGGTTTTCCACCAAAGTTGATCATGGAGAGAACTATTACCCCAAAAAGAAAGAACCCTTAATTGTTGAATCTAGATACGAAATGCAATCAAAAGCTAAAAGTTTTTAATTGAGAATTAGTATATTGATTCAGATATATGATCCAAAAAATAGTTCATGAATCAACTTTAGAGCAACATGCATCTATTACACAGATAATAAATCACTTTAAAGTAAAAAAATTTTAAAAATTTATCAGTATTATAGACAACAAAAAGGGTATCCAAACATTAGAAATGTACATACTCGGAGCTCAGCCAAGATTGTTGGCTTATATACTCAAGATCATCAGAATGGTACTACAGGAAGAGACATATCTTGTGTCCTCACTTAAATCTAGGGAGTTTGATACAAACCTCAAAATTTTAAGTGACATGTAGATTGACCTAATCCGATCTATATATTTCTTTGTCCATTGTTGAGCTCTACTACTATCCATTTATTTGTTTATATATCAATCTCAGAAGGAAAACTAATTTTTGTGTGTTTGTAACTAGAACATAAGGCATGATCTTGGTGAGATGTTAAATACTAACCTACAAGTGTGCGTGCTCCCCTGTAGACCTTTTAGGTAAACAATAGGGGGAAAATGTCAACACGGCGAGAAAACTAAGAGGAACTATGGCTCCAAATTATTGTAAAAAATTTCTTGGTATAAACACTCACATCACGCAGATTGTTCCTTGGAAGCATTCGCAGAACAGCTTTACGAATGACTTCTGTTGGGTCCTTGGCCAGTTGGTCCTTCAAACTCCTTTCCTTCAGGTGGCCTATATACCTGCAAGGAAGATATAGTTTAATTGCAATGAGAGAAATAAATCCATGACAATGACAGAACATATGTGGCAATTTGAAACTACATAAACAAAATGAATTTGCTATTATGTTATCAACACAGATTTACTTATTTATTCATTTATTTATTTTTTAGAAGAACAAAGGTATCATAATGTCTACATATCAATGAGAAACTTGTTGGAGATTTCCATCAAATCATTTCATGTCCATCAAGTTTCTAGACATTCCAATAACAAATGAAAAGGTACTTGCCCAGTATGCCAATAGTAAGTCTTATCAGTAAGTTTTCTCCCTGTTACACATATATCCTTCGCATTAAGCACAATGCACATGTCCCCATCATCACGATTAGGAGCATATGTAGGCTTATCCTTTCCTTGAATCACGGTAGATATTTGAGATGCTAGTCGGCCAAGGACCTACAAGAAAGAAAAAGGTTAATTTCTATCTTAAAAGGCTGTAAATAGAAGACTTAGAATCACCATGTTGGTAAACTCAAATTCTTATGCCCTTTACCGCATTGCAATATGGGGAAAAGAGGGTGTGGGAGCCCGTAAATTTCTCACATTAAATTATCATCCAAGCAAGCAAAATTTTCTCCTAGCCTATAAACGATAACTTTATTAAGTGCATATATAAAAGAATACTGGCATAAGTCATGACCCAACCTCGCCCTTCGCATCAAATACTCTCCAGCGAAGACCCTCAAGATTAATACGCCTCAGACCAGCGAGTGCTTTCTGTAGAGAAAGTGAAAAGACAAGTAGATCTTGTTAACAGCAAGCAATCTACAGTAACTGGGAAAATCTGTACTAGCTGGCATATGGATCATATTTCAACATTGATTTAACTAATTCAAGACATTCTTCATAAACTCAATAGTAAAAAATTTGTATGCAGACATAAATTGGTTTCCTAGAAATTGACTCATTCTCATGGCATCCATGAGTTCGCATATGGAGAGAACTTAGACCATGGTCATCACCTCCATAACCATCGTTTGTTTTTCTTGGAAAAAAATAGGGAAAAATGAAAAAAAGGTCAAATTTTGAGCAGGAGAAACCAAAAAAAGATATTTGGTCAGGAAATTTGTATACATACATAGATACATATATTATATAATTGTAACCTTCCAGACCAGAATAAGAACCCAGATTGCAAATTACACTCCAAATAGATTATCCAAAGAAGCAACTGCCATTTGGCACTCAATAACCAGAAGACAAGACCAAACCAGAAAAACCGATATGCAGAACTAAAGAAATTTTCCCCTGCGGAACCCTAGAAAACTTAACTCAGCGACTAAGCATATACTATCAATATTGCATAAATCTACATTGAAATTTCAAAAGAAAATAGGTCAACTTATACAAGCATAACCGGGAAAATAAAAACACTACCTTTGAGTTGCCAATGAAGGAGGTGGCAGCTTGATTCGCCATTTCTCTCTCTGATTTCTCTCACGGGCAAATCAAATCATTCTCCGATAGAGACACCAAGAACAAGTGCATAAAAGATCAAGAATTTGCAGAAGAAAATGAAACCTGTAAAACCCTGAAAGTTAGACGAGTAGGGTTCCGCTTGCGGAAGAAAGAAAAGAAAGGTTTGGAGCTCATGGGTTTGGGCCTCTGTGAAATATTCAGTCTCCATAGACATGGTTTGGCCCCAATGTACTTTCAATGGAGACGATTAGCTTGAAAATACTATCAATTAGGAAAATAGTTTAAAGAAATATATATATGATTTAGAATTTTAAAATTTGAAAAAAAAAACTATAATATAAATTAAACATTCTAATTAAAATACAATGTAAATAATAAACAATAAATAATATTTCTTATTAACTTAAGCTTCAAAAAATTATCATAAAAAATAAACAATATGTGTATGTAAATATAGCCTATACTTGAAGCAATTTTTATCCCCCCAACAATATCATTTGCAAATATAAAATATAAAAAAGTAAAATATAAATAATAAATTTAAATTTTAATATTAATTTTTGAATAAATCAACAATTTTTTCAATATTTATTTGAAAATTTTAATCTTAATTTAGATGGGTACCATTAGTATTTGCAATTTAAATAAGTATAATATTTATTATAATTTAGTTCTTAATATATTTTTATTATAATTTGTTGTTCAATGCTTATTATTCACTTTAAGTATTTAATTTTCTTCTATTTTATAAAAGAATAGTTAAAATAGTTAGATCATATTTTAATATTTTTAAAAATAATTAAAAATAATTTTAACTAATTAATTAGATTAATAATTTGATAGTAACAAAAAATAAATTTAATAATATCATTAATTTAATTAATTTGTTATCAAGTTATTTTTTTTATTACAAAATTGAAAAAAAAAATTGTGTGTTTAAAATAAATAAAAAAAATTATAAAATAAATTGTAACGAAAAAAATATTAAAAATTCATTATAATAAATATCATACTTGTAGGATTAATTAGATAATTTATTATTATTTTTTAAACCACCTATATGTGTGCTAAATTTGATAATGGTAACTATGCAAAAGGACTTCATTAAAAATTAAATTTTGAATTGTATGAATTTAAAAGCAATAGAATAGAATAAAATGATATAATGAAACCATGAAATAAAACAATTTATAGATTCTAAAATAGAAATTCTCTCTCAATAACTTTTAAAATGTTGTTTCAAGAATTTATAAATTGTTTTCTTTATAAATTCTTTGTTTTTAAAACACTAATAAAATTCAAATGCTGTTAGAAATTTTATAAATACATGATGAAAAAAATGAAAAAGTAAAAAACAAAAACTTGAGTCAAAGATTCACTAGCTCAACTAGATACAATATTTTCAAACACGTCCTTTTTTTTTAATTTTAAAAAATAAATTCATACATATTTTATAGTAATTTTTGGTTTTAAAAATTCAGATATTGAAAAAATTAAATTAACAAACTTTAGTATGGAAGGAAACAAACAACAAAAGAGTTTAAATTATATATATTTAAAAAATATATAAGATTTATTTATAAATACACTCGTTCAAGTTGTTTGTAACATCCACCTAAAATTTTATTTTTTTAATATAATTTTTTAATTATTTTATTATATTTTATTTTATTTTAATTTTTTTTTAAAATTGAGTAAATTGATAAAAGATTAAATTAAAAATAATTTTGAGAAAAATGGGTAAAAATTTAGATTCTGTGAGTATTTTTAAAAGAAAAATAAAAAATCAGGGGTTAAAATATAATTTAAAAAAATTGTACCATATCAGATGCTCGGTCAACAATTCCGACCAACCAGGACGCGCCAAGTGGCAGAGGCGCTAAGGCGGGAGGTCACGCGGGGGGGAGCCATGTAGACGATCCGCGTGCGCGCAATCGAATGGCTGAGATCCGTTCCCACGCGTAAGGACAGGCCAGATTGAATTGCAATGAACGGCTCAGATTCACTCTCTATTTAATCGCAATCAGACGGTCCAAATCAAAAGTGATAGATGACCCAGATTAAAAGCGAATGGGTATAAATAACTCCATCCGCACCCAAACCCTAACCTTAGTCGCTAGAACCCCTTGCCGGAAGACAACCCAGCCGTCGGAGAGTCGATCGCCGCCACCCGCCGCCGCACCAGAATCCTTTCCGACTGCCAAAAAAGGTAAAAAAAAATTTTTTTGCATGGAATTCAATTTTAAACCCGCCCATGGCTAAATCAGAGTGAAAGAACCGGCCAATTGGCCGAACAACACCGTCGAACCCCGGTGACGCCGCCGCGGGGAATTTTACAAACTGCCTCCAATGAGGCCCTTTTCGATTCCTGTTTCGTGTAATTTTTTCACCGTTGTGATCACCGTTTTCTTTTCTACAGGTTGATCGAAGCGAAATACCCAACTGCAATGTGAGCTGGAGGAGCCGCCGCATCGGAGAGCCCCACCGCCGGTGAGTTTTGATTTTTTGTATTTTTTCGGCCCACCGAGGCCCTTTAGCGTGTGTGCTCGTAGGAATAGATGTAAAATCGACCAAATTCGACCGAAATCAGCCAAAAATGGCTCACCCGAGGTGGACTGCCGCAGCGGGTGGCGGTGCCGTCGCCAGAGCACGGCGAAGCCACCGTGTCGGATTTTCGAAATTGGTCAAGTAGGCCTTGGGACTTATTTTTGAGTTTATTTGAGACATTTGTAGGTACTATAAGCGCGTTTTAGTTTTCGGAGAAAGATTCAGGGAACCCAAGGACCGCCCGTAGGCGCAGAAAACATTTATCTTTTCAGCGTCAAATCAAGTAAGGACTCCTCACCCTATTTCCTATCATAGATTTGAAGTTTGAGTAAATAACAATACGGTATTTTGTACAAATCAAATAGATGTACATAATTAATTACGAATTGCTAATGGTGCCCGAACCGGATATTGTTCTCTGTTGATTTATTTTACAATCTAAAAGCATGATGGTATCTGGTTTATCTGCTTTATGGTTTAAATGTATGTATACCTTACCCTATCACTGTTTGATTTTAGAATTTGAAACATGATTGCATTACTGGATGCATGTTTATTTATTTATGTGATTATATTTGATTTGATAATGGAGACTAAGAAAAAACAGGAAAGGGGTGTGATCAAATAAACAGATAGTAAGGACAACCTTACTAGATATCCTGGGAGATGGTGGACGGACTGAGTACATAGGGAACCCTATCGTGAACGTTGTCTCATACTGGACGGGGTATGGAGACTTGGTAATTTAGCGGTCATAGCGGACAGGGTATGGAGACGACCCGCTTTACCCTCATACCGGACGGGATATTTAGGTTTAATGTCTTTGGCGCTCATATCGGACGGAGTATGCGGACGGCCCTGTAATTGGGATTATTAAGAGAAAGAATTCACATGTAATGGAGACACTCCTATGAACCCCAATGGATACTAGTAGGCTGGTGAAGTGAGAAACGGTTATGATTTATTGTTAATGAATATGAATTTATGATATGTTCTATATTATTGATTATGCATGAAGTTATGGTATGATAAACGAATTTGCTAAATTTAGTACTCCATTAGTTGTTTTGATTTTCTACCAACATTTACTTCTGTGCTAGTGATATAGTGTGATATTCTTACTGGGCTAGTGTAACTCATCCTTTATTTAACTATTTCAGATCATGAGAACCTAATTCCAGAGCCCGATCCGCAAGAAGATTGCTAGTCGATGCTAGATACTTTCTATTTTCCATTACTTTCTTATTTCTCATGTTTTTTTTAGAGAATTCATTCTGAAATATTTGTTTAGTACTTTTAAGTTCTTGTGTAAGGGATGTAAACCTTAACATTTTATTTCACTTCCGCACTTAAATTATTATATGTTTTCTTTTGGATTTTCGGGGTCGTTACATTGTTACTCTAATGTGATTACTTTAATTTAAAGAATGTAACGGTTATAAAATATTTTTTTAGTTTAAATATGTCATGATTTGTTGACTCTAAATCTAACTTAATCATTATAGTTCCACTAACACACTAAATCTAAATGGACAAGTTGTTCCATTGATGTTAACTCCTGAACAGATGATTTCGAACCATAATCTATTTCTTTATTTCATAACTGTTGAAAAGATTCTTTTGAAATGTTATCCAATTATAACTACTGAACACGTGTTTCGAGAGCCATCTCTGTTTGCTTCAAAGTTTCTGTAATACCATTGATTAATTAATTTTAATGTAATTAAAATTAGTGTATAAATATAATTTTTTTATTTTTATTTAATATAAAAGTGAAGAAAATTAAATAGATGATGAAATTGAAAACAATTTTGAGAAAAATTGGTGAAAATTTGGGTTCTGAGATATTTTTGAAAGAAAAATTAGAAACTGGGGTCAAAACATAATTTAAGAAAATTGTACTACGTAGGATGCCCAGTAAGTAACTTCGACGAATCGGAGCACGCCGCGTGGCAAAGGACACTAACGCGGTGCCACACGGGAGGCCATGCTGGCGATCTGCGTGCTTGTGATCGGACGGTCCAGATTTGTTCCTGCGCGCATGGACAATCCGGATCTATTCTCTCCCCAGACACGATCGGACAGTCAGATTTAAACACGATGAACGGTCCATATCAACTTTCAATTTAAACGTGATCAGACGGTCTAGATCAAATCCCGATGAACGGCTCAGATTCACTTCCTATTTAATCGCGATCAGACAGTCCATATCAAACTCGATGGATGGCTTAAATTAAAAGGGAATGGATATAAATAACCTTTTTCACACCAAACCCTAACCCTAGCCGCAAGACCCCACCCTCCTGCCCCTCCCGCACTGGAGAAGAAGACCCAGTCACCGGGAAGGAAGCCGACCGCCGCCACCGCCATGCCGAAGCCACTTCCGAACGCCAAAAGAGGTAAAAATTTTCTCATTTGCTCGAAATTTGATTTTAAACACTCCCATGGTCAAATTGGAGCAAAAGGATCTGCGAATTGGCTAGAAACTGCAAACAAAGCCCGGAGGCACCGCCGCGAGAAAATGCAAAAATCATCTCCGATGAGACCCTTCCCAATTCCCGTTCTGCGTAATTTTTTCACCATTGTAATCATTATTTCATTCTCTACAGGTTGACCGAAGCAAAACACCTA